GAAGGGAAGGGAAGGGAAGGGAAGGAAGAAGGGAGGGGAGGGAAGAAGGAGGAGAAGGAGGGAAGGGAAGGAAGGAGGGAGGAGAGCGAAGGAGGGAGGGAACGAAGGAAGGAAGGGATGGAAGGAAGGAGGGATGGTGGGGAGGGAAGAGAAGGGAGGAGGAACAAAGGGAAGGAGGGAGGGAACAGAAGAAAGGAGGGAAGGAAGAAGGGAGATAAGGAAGGAGGAGGGGAGGGAAGAATGGAGGGGGAGAAGGAGGAAGGAAGGAGGGAAGGGAGGGAGGAAGCCTCCTTCCTTCCCAGCTACCGAGCTGAAAACCCGCCACCTCATTCATCACAAGGATCCTGTCTATGCCCATCACTATCCACCATTTTAACACCTTATCTCCCACACTATTCTCCTAACAACTCTATCCCCCCCTCTACACCCATCTCTGTCACCCTTGCCTCGGTGCCTCCCTACATCCCGTCCTATATCCCTCTCTGTATCACCCTGTCTATCTATCACCCCCTCCTATCCTCCTCTCTATCCCAATCTAGCTCTCTATCTCACCTCTATCCCCCTCTATGCCCATCTCTATCCCCCCTCTCTATTGCTCTCTAGCTCTATCCCTGCTCTATCCCTACCCCCCCCATGCCTCTCCTCTCCTTGGAACCACTCAGACACAAAACAAGAGCACCACGACGCAGCCTCTCCACAAAGTGCAAACACTACAACAGCCCCAACCCGTGTTACCGCACATCCAAACCTAACAGCGCCAGTCGCACCCCTAAACTCTGCACAACTTCACCTTGTCCCATACCCGACACGACCAAGCCCTGCACCCTCCTCTCAGAGGACACAGTATGACACACCGGGCCCGACTGCAAACACGCAGGCGCAACCGCAGCACTGTGGAACGCTCCATCACTTACACCACGCTGCAACAGACCCCCCATCGCGACCAGAAACACCGCCCCACAAGCGTGGGACTTGACGTGCATGTCCACCGACCTCACCCCAACAGCACGCCATCCGCCAGGCCAGGATGGAGCAAAAGACAAGGGCCACAAGGCAACTCAACCGCCCAGAGCCCACGACAGCCAAACGCAACTATGCCCACGCGCCGGAGGAGACCACCGCTGCACGCCGGAGACCACCGCTGCACGCAAGGCACCAGCACAGACCGAAACACAACGGTTATGCTACAGACCCGACCTCAGCGCCACGGGCACCTAGAACAAACCCCCCCCGACAAGGATGTCGCAGAACTTTAGACCAAAACAAGCTCCAGTTGATTCCACCAGACCAAACCTCAGCAGACAACAACGGGGCGCAACGCAAGAGACCGTACCTGCCTACTCCACACCACTCCTCATCCCTACAGATAAGGACAACACAAATCGACACTAGATTACAAACAAAGTGTGAGGAAAACACCACACCACCTTACATCCCAGAGAAGGGCCCTACCCCTAGCAGCACGTGCACCGGACCGAGCCCTTCAGCCTTGACCTGACTGTCACAGCAGGTCACCACAAGCACACGACATCACCCACCCGTCTGGGCAGCCCGCTCGCCTGTAACAACGCACTCTCAGAAAAGGAACATTCCTACCATCTCATTATGACCTCCCCAGACACGGCACGCTGGCAAGAACTGATGGACAACGTCCCTCTCCAACCCACGCAGCGCAATGGGGACGCATCTCAATGCCCTCTGCCTCCCTCTTACCACATTACGCTAACACTGTGCCGTCCTGCCAGCTTCTGTGCGCTTCTCGGGACACCTTCCCGCACCTTAACATCCTTCTGAGAAGGCAAAACCCTCTATACCACACATCACACAAAGCAATGCTGGCATCCACCCCCCTTTCCGCAGCACTGCTCTCCACCTCCTCCTCTTGCAGTCCGTGCTCATCCCCAGCTCAACTTCAAGCCTCTCGTGACTGCCCATGCCTCCCATCACTCCAGACTGCTCCTAAGAACTCCCATGCCTGAAGATGGACACCACCATCACCTAGTTCACTACCACTGTCACACCCCAGGAACGCACCACTGCCATTACACTTGCACACATCATCTGGGAGAGTGCCACGACAGGCAGCCTCGCCAGATTCCATACCTACATCTCCCGCTTCCCCATCCTCCACTCTGCAAGTTCCCTCACTGCACAAGGACTACAACTTCCCTACTTGGAGCGTTCCCTCGCCAAACCCTGGCTGACTGTGCCTGAGGATCACCAAGTCCCAAAGGCTTTGCTCCCACAGCCCAGATGATCTTCTGCACGCAATAACGCTCCACTGCCGTGTCTTTACCGTCCTAGACCCCCCTCGTACCCCTCTCCTACACAGCCGTATGGTCACCTGCCTCCTGGTCCCTCACCACCTCGCAGTGGGAACGGTGCCCGTCACAGCCCTGCAACACGGAGCTCTGGGCATCCCCAGCTCTGTCACTACGAGATGACTGCCTGGAATCATTAAACAGAGAGAAAGCGAACCCTGCCCTGCCTCCCCTTTTCCTTTAGCCCTGTTTCTCAGGTCACTGTCGTCGACACATACCACCCCCCCATTTTCCTTCGCCCTCCTCCTGCTACTCCCCTATTTGCAAAACCCCTTCCTCCTGACTGGCTCGACGCTGGATGGTTTCCCCTCCCACCCAGCTTTCCCCTTCTGCTGCTTCTCCTCTGCCTCCTCCAAGCGCAGCTGCCCCGTGTCCCTGCAAAGCCCGACCTCTCCGTCAGAGCTGCAGCCACCCCTCCTTCCATCCAAACACAGAGCCGAGTCCCCGGCTCGGGCCGGCCC